AACCCTGGAGTAGAAAACGGGCTTAAATAAAAATATAAACATTCAGTTGTCTGAGAACATCATAAACGACAGATTCAGCTGGGTTCCGGGTGAGTCTCTCGAAAGAACCAAATTAGTTTGCAGGTGAGTGTATATTCGCTAATTTCGTACAATTTGGTTTCAAGTAGGACATCAGGTTGACGGAAACCCGGGGACTGCGCCTACCTGATGAACCCCAAGAAGTGCGAAACCGGTCGTGGGCTGTCGATGGATTTTCAGCAACCTTATGAGTAGTACATTACAAATATACATGTATCGCGATATTTCAAATATCGTAGCGACTGAAACATGAGGCGGCCTGGTGCAGCACATTCAGTTGCCTTAGAACATCATAAACGACAGATTCAGCTGGGTTCCGGGTGAGTCTCTCGAAAGAACCAAATTAGTTTGCAGATGAGTGTATATTCGCTAAAGTATAAACAAGTTATTCATTCGCGTTTACTATTGAAACTGCCTTAATTTGCAGGTGAGTGTATAACACCATTTCTGCTCGCATGTAGTGTGGGTGACTGCGTGGCGCCTCGGTCATAGGTGAGAACCGTTAGCCAACTGGGCCATGTGATCGATTCTGGTGATTTCCGCGATTTAAGCTAAGTTGTACGACTAGTGGAATTCATCCGCCCCACGAAAATCATCTTTTGTGGACGTAAAAATGGTGTCTCTCACCTCATTGATTACGAGGCTAGTATTATTGGGCTCGTATACTTAATGCCTAGGGGCAGAATTCACATTATCAATATGCTGTGATTAACTGAGAGAGTAAGAATAATTCCCACAGGTTGTGTGACTCTTCTAGTTGCGTAATCGTCACTCGGGGATAGAGACGTGTCCACGTGGTGTGAACTCCGTGATTGATCGAGGCGCGTGGGTACCGGTAATTCCCACGACTGATCAGCCGTTCATTGCCGAAGGGTTTAGTCTTAAACTATTAGCCGAGAGGTTGCAGGTTCTGGTCTCCCCTGGAAGTTGGCTAGGTGATAGATATCACTAAAGACGATGTAGCTGTACAATGGCTCATTTACAGAACGAAATCTCAATTGAATATCACTATTTTCCTGAAACCACAATAGACAGTTCGGACTGTTGACCCAGGTTTCGGTGTGTGTGTGTGTGTGTGTAGGATTATGCCAGTGCAACTTAGAGTGCGTAGGAGCTATTAACCGATTTTAACAGTGTTCCCCTAGCTGAAACCATTCTGTGATTTAAACAACCGACTTTCAGCACTTTTCATACTGTCGTCGAGTGCCTGATTTCTGTCGAAAACAGAAGCGAGCTACGTTCTATGGTTACATAGTTACTCCACCAAAATCCAGGCTTTATTTATATGAGTATCACAGTTTGATTTGATTTGCACAGTCAGCAGTGGCGGTTTTCAGTAAGGCGTGACACTCTCCGCCGATGACCAGTTAGGCCGTTCTTCAGTTAGATAGCACTGTAGGCCATTTGCTAGTGCGCGTTGGCAGACTGTCCGCCACACAGAGTCGTTTTTCATTGGTTAGCCATACATTAACTATTTTTTGCTAGCCTATCAAGTGAAGGCCGTTACAGGTGTTCGAGTTAATCATACGACGATATTTGAAGTGCACGATGAAGGTGAGGGCGATTGAACACCAGTTTCTTTCCACAGGCGCCGATGGACTAATTGAAATGACTGTTTGTTGTAACTTGCTGTACGGTAGTGCAACTCTGTATTGGTCCCTTGGCTTCCTGCTCCGCCCACTATGGTATATCAAAAGTTACGGTAGCTCTACACAGCCCGTTATGGAGACAAAAGGAGAATCTTTGCATCTGTGTTTATAGAGTAATCACAGAGTGTTCCACAAGATTGTGCTAGAATCACCGTGAGGGGGCGAGAAGCGTCCAGTCAAGGATGCTCGACCCGGATTAGCTGGCATTCTGACCAATCAGGGCATGCCTCCGTTTGGTCCGTGTCCTGCACGTGATACATCCGTCCAAATGATGTGATGTTCGGTTATTAGGGATGGCTGGTCTCTTCGGGAAATCAAGCGTCCGCATGTTGTACTGCTGTGTGCCATATCCAGTATCGTTCAAACAGTCGCTTCCACGGTGTTCTGACTTTGGGGAATTGTCACCTACGAGAAAGAAATCTGCTTACAATAATGTTTCTGACCCGGTCGATTAGCCGCACTTAGTCTACCGGCTAGACCTCAGTTACAGTCAGTCGACCTTAGCGCCTTCATGGTGGGCAATCTCAGTGGACTGTGAGTGGAGGTAGTCTTCTTGTCAAATCCACCTGATCTATATGACGGTGCAGGTTACCCAGCTCATTCAGAATTGGGACCGTATATTCGATAGTGATGCACATCGCGGGCTACAGGCTGCTTGTCCGTTCTGACAGTATGACAGAATATGACCTGATCGAAAGAAATCACAGAGTGGAAGATATTCCTAGGTTCTGCCGATGCCACATGCTCTACTGGACTTAACTAGAGACGTAGAAACATACGGCCATAGCCATGATCGTTGGCTTTCAACTGGCCAGTTTCTATCCCCGGCGTCCAAGTGGAGGTTTGGAATTGTAAACACCTCGGATGTTTGTATCAGACTGTCACCAGGACTCTTTCTGATTTTCACTTTGTGCATTTCTTTATAGTAAGAAAAAATGTGAATACCATGAAACAGTTGTATCATATGTGGCCTCCCAATTGTATTACTGTCAGTGATGATTGGTTAGTTGGTGATTTGACCAACTGTGGGACTGACTGAAAGCTATTTGTTCTGAATTCCATACTTGCTGACCAAGTTAACTAATAAAAGTGCTCTTTCTATAGAGGAAAATGTTGGTACCTCAGGTATCGTACATGGTGGTCGTTTGCTTGTTCGCTGAGCTGGGCAATTTGATTGCAAACGTTTCATCTCCAATCGAGGTGACATCATCAGTGCGTTTTTGTGGAGCGTAGTAGTGCGTAGCGGTGGGTTGGTGGTTGTGCACAACCAACAAACCAGCTCAGCGAACAAGCCAACGACCAAAGTGCTCTTTGTTTGGACGTAATACATTACTCATAAGGTTTCCGACAGTCCACGACCAGTTTCCTCTTCTTGGAGCTGATCAGCTAGGCGCAGTCTCCGAGTTTCCGTGAACTTCATGTTCTGGGTTCCCTGCGAAAGTGTACTTTTCTGACAGAGTCAACAACTCCGATGGCTCATTGGAACAAGAAAAACATTTCCTTATGCTTGTATGTAGGTGGGCATACAAACAGCTCGTCCGAACCATGCCTATGAAGATGTTGGATGAGGTTTTAACCAGCACCCTGACCTGTTGGTTTAGCACCTAGAGGTCGACTGGCGATTTGTTGCCCTTTTTATGTCACTGGATGTTTAGATTTCACAGTTGCGTCGTTTTTTCCCGGTACATTTGGACTAACACATAAATGCGAAAAAATCCAGTCCAGCAGCTGTGATCATTTGTGATCAGAACGTGTGAGCGTGCAAGTTCGTTGAGGATGTTCTGAGATTTTCGAATGTTCCCCAGTCAGTCGAGTTTGTTTTCCAGACCACTTGACTGTTGTCAGTCACCGAGAGAGCACATAACAGTGTGAAGAACATCGAAAAACTGCTAATTTCCAAATTAGCGTTCTGTGAGATGGATAAAATGATAGTTTTTATTGTTGTAACTGAATTCATGATCAATGCAGTGTACGCTATGAGGAGCGGTGATCAAAAGGGGCTCCATTAAGTAATAAAACTGGATATAGCGTTTTTGTTCGTTGATATGACGAAAACCCACGGATAGCTGGTTTTGTTGTTTTTGACTCATCAGGTGAGATGATTCATTCTTAGCTTGTACTTCAACATCAATCTGAACCAGTGTGCCGAACAGTACCCAATTGCGAGTAAAGTTGGCGTTGCCGGAGGAATTTAACTGATTCAACATCCTAAAAGTGGTAAAAATTCAACGCCGATCCTAACCAGTCAGATTCCAAACAAATTTCAGCGCATCTGGGCGAAAACAGTGCACACAAAATAGGCTGATGATTGCTCCACGCCGAACAATCGTTTGCCGAAGAGAGTACTGTTTTCCATGCCCAATTCGGAGTGGCGTAAACAGAGAGGTGGCCAACCCTTGACTGGGCGGAGGAGTATGAAGGAGATCACGAAACGCTTGGGTGCTGTCGGTGCTACTCGCCTTCCAGGGTGGGGACCGCGTGATCCTCATTGTGCCTGGTTGGAGACACTACAAGATATAGCTGCAAACCGATGTCAGTGGCGTTCTTGTTGTCAGTTTCTGTCCAGATTGCCTGAGTGAATGTCTGGAGGTGTAGGCACCTCGGAATGATTGTGTTAAGCTAGCACTAAGTCCCTCCCCTCTCTACCTTTACTCTTTTCTTTACAATAAAGCTTTCAAATAAGTCATGGTTGTACGGCAGTGAAGCATCGGTGTTGAACACTGATGTCATTGACTCATCAGGTGAGATGATTCATTCTTAGCTTGTACTTCAACATCAATCTGAACCAGTGTGCCGAACAGTACCCAATTGCGAGTAAAGTTGGCGTTGCCGGAGGAATTTAACTGATTCAACATCCTAAAAGTGGTAAAAATTCAACGCCGATCCTAACCAGTCAGATTCCAAACAAATTTCAGCGCATCTGGGCGAAAACAGTGCACACAAAATAGGCTGATGATTGCTCCACGCCGAACAATCGTTTGCCGAAGAGAGTACTGTTTTCCATGCCCAATTCGGAGTGGCGTAAACAGAGAGGTGGCCAACCCTTGACTGGGCGGAGGAGTATGAAGGAGATCACGAAACGCTTGGGTGCTGTCGGTGCTACTCGCCTTCCAGGGTGGGGACCGCGTGATCCTCATTGTGCCTGGTTGGAGACACTACAAGATATAGCTGCAAACCGATGTCAGTGGCGTTCTTGTTGTCAGTTTCTGTCCAGATTGCCTGAGTGAATGTCTGGAGGTGTAGGCACCTCGGAATGATTGTGTTAAGCTAGCACTAAGTCCCTCCCCTCTCTACCTTTACTCTTTTCTTTACAATAAAGCTTTCAAATAAGTCATGGTTGTACGGCAGTGAAGCATCGGTGTTGAACACTGATGTCATGCTGTCGATGATGATGATGATGCTGCACGCTGTGTTTGAGGGTATACACGTTGGACGTGAATATCAGCCGGTCGAATAGTGTACAACAACCTGAATAGTCCCGGAGACAACACGTAAATGAATATTTTTCAGGCCAAATCACTATTGAAAACCAATAGCCGGCTGCGTTGTAATTCTTGGGTCCTCTTTGAGAACGGTGAACAGTTAGCGACACAGTCCGATGCCTCTTCTTGGCGTCATCCAATTTCCATCTGGAAGATGGGAACCTGTTCTGGGGGTGCATTTGATGCTTCCTACGTAGGTTGTATGGCCCGACAACTGTCGAAACAAACTATAGAACACTGCTCAATATGGTTCATTCTGAGAGATACCACTATTTGTATCCAGAGCTCTATTTCAACCCACCTGTCTTATAGGAGACCCATAATCAATGGCAGCACAGCCTTTCGGATCAGTCATCAGTACCACATTGCCAAAAGGAAATTACTTTGTAAATGAGTGTATTCCACTGATCTCGTGCAATTAGGTTTCAAGTAGAACATAGGGTTGACGGAAACTCGGGGACTGCGCCTACCTGATGAGCCCCAAGAAGGGCGAAACCGGTCGTGGGCTGTCGACGAAGTTTCAGCAACCTTATGAGTAGTGCATTACACATATACCATATAGCATGTTCAAAGTGCTGAGTTCACGTGACCTCGCACATTGACGTCGGTGTCATTCTCTTAACAACTCGGTGTATATCTTAATCAAAGAAAATTCAACTAATTACGTTTTTCTTTTTCGTAAGGAAAATGGTCTCCTCCGTAATGACATTCTTCATCCCTGTGGAGCCTCCTGTGATATCATGATTGGTTTGATAACTCACTCTCTCAACAGATCACATATCTGCAGGATAGCGCAAACGGCGTAATCTGTTGAGTCTTCTGTTGACTCCATCCAAATAGTAAGATCAGCGTTTAGTTGAAAATAAGTCCAACCTAATGTAAGGGAACATGAGAGGCGGCAATTTGGGGACTAGGTCTGTTTGATGAATCCAAGCCCATATCAGACTGTCCAAAATGTCTATCAACCCTAAAGCTAGTATCAGTTCAAGGAAAATGCATCAGTAACTTGAAGCCTGGTGCAGCATTTGCGTACACATTCCGTCGAAAAATATTCCAAGTGAAAAAGTCAGTTGGATCTCTGCAAGCACCCACCTAATATGCAAGTGCTTCCTTCCATACTGCTGTTTGTTCTCATAGGGAGATCACCCTATATGTGGAGCTAATATATGCCGGAGAGGTGAGAAGCACCGGTCATTGTCTTGTTCGCTGAGCCGGGTGCTTTGATTGCGAACAGTTAATCACCAATCAAGGTGAAATCGTCAGTACGTTGTTAGGGTGCGTAGTGGTGTGTAGCGATGGATTGGTGGTTGTGCCAACCTCGACTGTGTCGCCTCGATTGAAGATGAAACGGTTGTGACGAAATCGTCTGGCTCAGCAAACAAGTCAGCGACAGTCTACGCTACCTGTGCTACAAAAATTCCCCTCTATGAGAAGCGCCGTACAGCTCGTTCACCCTTATTGGGAATCATTGGCAGTGCACATCTCGCGAAACTCCAGGTGGTCTCGAGTCCGTGACCTCCCGGTTTGTAGTTTGAACACCCACCCTCAATGGATGAACTGATCACACTCTTGGTTGTACTGGCTGGGTCACGTGCTGCGTATGCTAGTCGACCGACTTCCTTGAAGTGCTGTTTTCGCACAACCACGTAAAGGGTGGAAGAGAACCAGAGGCGGTCAAACGATGACTTGGCAGCAAAGTATAAAAGCCGTTATCAGCAAACTCAGCTGCGCTGGTCATTGCCGTCTTCCTGAATGGGGACCTTGAGACAAGCCTTATCAATGGTTGGAGACATTGTCAGACATGGCCCAGCTGCGCCTTCAATGGCACTCGTGCATCCAAGCTATTGTCTTCAGTGCATAGCTC